CCCTAGAATAATGTCAGAAAGCTGCTTGCTGGACTACCCCCTTTGCTTGAATGTTTTTTTTGTTTTCTCAATACTTTTGAATACGGGATTTTGTAAAGAAAGAGTGCACTGACTTTTGGAAACTTTTGGAAAGCTTAAAGACTAAAGAGCTTAGGTAAGTAAAGCAAACCAAAAGGAAAAGAAAGGGAATGAATACAAGTTTACTTAAAGCAAAATATGTTTTTAAGCCTGAAATCTCTAGACATTCTTCTAGGGGCCCCCCCTAAATAATGTCAGAAAGCTGCTTGCTGGACTACCCCCTTTGCTTGAATGTTTTTTTACTTTTTTTTTTTCAATACTTTTGAATACGGGATTTTGTAAAGAAAGAGTGCACTGACTTTTGGAAACTTTTGGAAAGCTTAACGACTAAAGAGCTTAGGTAAGTAAAGCAAACCAAAAGGAAAAGAACGGGAATGAATACAAGTTTACTTAAAGCAAAATATGTTTTTAAGCCTGAAATCTCTAGACATTATTCTAGGGCCCCCCCTAAATAATGTCAGAAAGCTGCTTGCTGGACTACCCCCTTTGCTTGAATGTTTTTTTGTTTTTTCATACTTTTGAATACGGGATTTTGTAAAGAAAGAGTGCACTGACTTTTGGAAACTTTTGGACAGCTTAAAGACTAAAGAGCTTAGGTAAGTAATGCAAACCAAAAGGAAAAGAAAGGGACATCTTCAAATGTTTAATAGACATCTCCATCCAAAAGCCTGTAAGATAAGCAAATCCCAGCAAACTCAAAAGGGAAAAAGTAAACTATAAGAATTAAACATATTCCACTACAACTATCCCTCCCCCAAAAAAAAACATTATTCTGGGGGCCTTTATTAATCTGTGCAGGAAAAAACACGACATTATTCTAGGGGCGTTTATAAATCCAGGGACCACATTACTCGGGAGGGATTTAGTTGAAATAGGTATGTTCCCCCTTGCAGGGATGTTTGGGGCCTTGGAGCATGGTTGCAGGATAAGATTTTCAGGTCAACAGGCTATCATGTGAAATACTGCACTTCTACAACTCCTTGGGTGGTTTATGAATTAAGAGCTCAAAGACTTTTCAGGGTGGTTTGACAACACCAACTGGACGAGGTCTTCGGTCCATCCATGGACGGTCTCCTTCGCTATATCATTAAAGCCGCTCAACGGTCCGACCACGTGTCCGAACACGGCAGACACCGCAGACGACTCGCTGACTGGGTGTTGATGCGGTAAAGAAACCACTGGGTCAAACAGGATCAAACACGGAGTAAAGGAAAGAGTTAGAAGATCTGAGTTCTTCGGGGAACAGCTGTCAAAAGGATGACCTGACACATAAAAGCCTGCCAATCAGCCTGACATTCTTCCGGCTTTCCCAAGCTCAAACCAAGCTACTATTCAGCCTCCCCTCTGAAAAAAGCGGCCCCCTCCCACCTGCCATCCCTGCAATCGGCGACCAATCTACCACAGGCGGAGGTGGCGGATCCCCACTTGAAGTCGGTGGCGGGCGCTTTGACGGACCTGCTGAAAACCAACGGCACGGGCACCGCCGCCAACAACTCCGCCATCATCGGCACCATCAAGGACTTGTTGGAGAAGAACATGAAAGGCGCGGACGGGTTGTGGTCCCAAGTTAACAGGTACCATGACAAACACAAGGGTGAAGAGGGATGCAGGATATGAAGGGTCTTGTCTTCAGGTGTTCATGTTTTTGGATAATTTTAGACCGTCTGCGGTTGAGAAAAGTGGCTGCCTGCCGCCGCTGGTGTTTCAATGTTTTCCACTCTCCGGGTTCTGGGGATGACCTGTAAAAGATCCCGGGGACTTCCACCGGTGACACCGGCCTGTGGGACCATTCAAAAACAAAACAGCGGAGTGAAGCCACCAGACCAGAGTGGAGTTGCTTTTGGTCCCCATGGCTCCCCACCGTCCAGCGTCTTGTGGAGTCACGCTGGACGGGTCGCTGCGGGTCATCACAGCCCGGGCGCGTGGCCGCATCCGTCGGGGAATAGCTTGTGGGCGGTGCCCGCGTTCCAGGCCATGTGAAGGAGTCCTTTGAGAAGAGCGTTCAGGCGATCGAGGAATCCAAGCATGAGTTGCTAGGAATGGAGGAAAGGGTGGATTGGCGGGAATAACGTGGGCGTTCGAGAACCATGACTATGACATACTATGACTAGGTGATACTGGTGGTGTTGTTAGATACTGCAATTAATATGCATGTTGGCTCGTTTTCTTTTGTTGTTCTTTTGCATGGTGGTGATTCAGTACTGATGACACTTTGTTCCTACTGGAGCAAGCAGTTTTCAATCACTGGGTTGGTCAAAAGAGAATCATCGAGTTCAATGGCCTTTCCCCAAACGTTCTGGGCTTATTTTTCCTCGCTCTGCCGGATTGCGCTAACTAGGTCGGTGTAAAAGTCAGCCTTTACAAGCCTATGTCTAGCCTTCCAAGACCAAAAGAAAGGTTGACCTTGTGATGTCGTCTTAAATCCTGAAAAACAGTACAGTAATTATACTTGTTAAATTGTTCAGTTGAAAGCCCATCAATCTAATGGTTGGAATAACTTCCACTTATAGAATGTGGGGATTCATCCCATCGCCAGAACATGCCAGAACAACGGTTTCCTCCCGGCGACGCTCAGCCTTGTTCGACCCACCGAGTCGGCGAGCCGACGCCGACGCTGAGGTTTGCCCAGTGCCGCTTGGCTTACGAGAAAGCCGATCCTGTGCGCTTCCCCAAGGCCTCCCTCCTGCAGGCACGTGGAAGAGCAGTCTTTGTTCGGCTGCTTTTTGTATGGTCCAAAGAGGAGGGATTGAGGGAGTGGGAGGGACTTGGAAGGCTGGCACATGGGAGAAAAAGGCGCAGTTAAGAGTTGAAAGGAAGATAAGGAAGGCTTGAAGAAGATGTGTATCGGATCAATAGAGGCCATCGGACCCTCGATGCCGATCGACTCGGTTCAGTCTTCGGTCCAGGCGAACAGCACCCCATGGTATGAGGCCTACTTTCAGGCCTACAGCCAATGCAAGGCATGGGAGGGACAAGTGCCTTGGCACATGACTTGAGCCGACCTATCGTTTGGTGCCCTGCCGTTTGGTGCAGCTAAGAGGTGGTCAGTTTGACTGGCAGTGTTCATCGGGCTTCGGTCTATCGGCACTTGGGAGCTGGAGATGGGCACCTTGAGCTGGGGAGATGGGCACCCTGAGCTGGTGCTGGAGACCCACTGAGGCACCGAGACCCACTGGCACACCCAGCGAGTCCCCGCGAGACCCACGGTTGACGGGGTCCCGTTCCAGCCCGAGTCGGGGGTGTCCATTCCGTCCTCCCAGGTGGCAGCCGACCTCACCGCTTGTGACTACTACTGCACTTCCCAGGTGCCGGGAAAGGGCAAGGGAAGTCGTTTGAAAGGAACAGGGTGACAGATATCATGTCAAATATGGATCAAAAAGGTGTGGGTTGTCTTCCTCTTGCAACTTGCAACAGTTCCTTTCTCTTTTCGCCTTTGAATGGTCAGTTTGCTGGGTCACTTTCACCGCTCCCATCCAAGCATCATTTTGCATCGTTTTTTGCGACTTCCAGTGCTTCCAGGTGAAGATCATGGGTGAGAACTGCACCAACCTGGGCCTCCAGTGCGGCCCCTTGGACTGCGCCCCCGTGAGCGGCGAGGGCTACAAGGCCTTCTTGGACCGGATGATCTCTGACATCAAGGTCCGAGCCACTGCGCGCGCGCGCATGCAAGCAAGCTTGCGCCGTGAGCTGACCACGGAGCGCGGGGGTGACGTGGGAGGTGTATCCGGACAGATTGGGATTTCATTGGGCTTCTCAAACTATGAGGGCATGACCGGGGTCAAAGATGCCCGCCATCGCTTCATGGTGTCTTTTTTCTATCTTTGTCCTCCTATTCTGGGTTTTCTCAGTGGCGGAGCAAACGGCAAACAACTGTTGCTTCAGGACAGTTGCTCAAGAGTTGTGGATGACACGTGCATTTGGCCTCCCCTGCCTCATGACCAGCAGTTTTGAGTTTCCTGTTCTCACGACTCGACCAGCTTGGAAATGACTAAGTGACCATCTCAACCCCCTCCCAAGATGTTGTTAGTTTCACTGAGCACGGTGACCTTGAACGGCTCCAGCGCTCGTGCAGCGCACGCTTTTGGTCAGCGCTGCACCGCGCCTTGTGCTGCCAGGGGCAGATCGAGGCCCTTCAACTGGCGCGCAGTGGCCCTGGACGTTTCTGGGCCAGAAAACGCGTGCCGACCATTGCGCGCCAGGCCGACCACTGGAAGATCCCTCCCGAATTCGGAGTTGCCTCCTTTTTTTCAGGGGAGAGGAATTGCGAGGCGACTGGGGTGAAGCCACCTGGTTTTGCGACGTCTCCATGTTGTGGGAGATCAATTAGATGCGGGTGCTTCTGAACAGGTCTTGATCAACATGAACCCAAATCCAAACCAGATCAAGACCTGTTGCTGTTTTTTTGGGGAGAAAATCGAACTCCGAGTCGAACACCGAAGGATTCCGCACGGAACGCGCATGGGGAAAACGATCAGGTCCGAAGACACACCAGATCACTCCGAGCCGATCTGAGACTCTCACCCCTGAATCAACAGTCAGCATCACCTGAGAGTTCTGCTGAAACCAAACCAACAGCCCAACTCCACCAGGGGGGATGAACTCTATGCGCTCTCATGGATCGTTTGGTCGAAGCTTCGATCCTCGGGATCAACCCGTTGTGTGGTGGCCCAAAACACCGGGAGAAGCGGTCTCGAGCGGTGAAGCTGGACCGTCCGGTGAATTCTGTCCATGTGTATCTCGATCTCCAACGAACTCAATGGCACAAACTCAATGTGGGTATCGGTCCTGGAGGTCTATCGAGCCAATGTGCTACAAGTGGTGCGGATGAGGCAATTGACATCAAATGACCTACGACCCAACCAAACGATGGACCAGTCGAACAATATCAACTGAAACGAAAACAGCCTCAGGAGAACCAGATGTTGAAATTGTTGGTGGGCCAACATGGCTTTTGTCCTGACATCGCCTGACATCTATTTCTGTCCATCAAGCACCATGAAGCACCTATTGTTTGGGTGGCCCAACTGCTTGACCAATGACAACACCAGTGAAACATGTGAAACCCTCTTGGATGGAGGAACTTCATATCAACATTTGAAGAAAGCAACGCTCCTAGACTCTTAGTCATTCATCGTCGATTCATCGTCTTTATGGGCCACTGGAGGTGGCAACCTTTTTCATTCCCCCACTGACTCGCGGCTACACCTCGCTCGCACCCAGGCTACAACCTCACTCACCGATGTCAAGACATCCTGGGCACCGCCGAGCGATGCTTCAAGAACTGCGACGGACACATCGAGGAGCGGCGACGCCATTTTCGGTGTCGACAAAAGGGTGGAATGGTTGGATGGTAGGGATGGGATGGAAGTGTATGCTGTACCACAAAGGATCATTGAGCATCTTGGGCACCGCATAGAGCTCGATTGTATATTGTACAGTCATATAATGATACTTAATGAATATTAATGACATAGTTTAATAACAATAATAATGGTAGTTAATGTAATTTAATATAATGTAATGTTGAAAGTTGAATGTTGATAAATAGAACCTCTTCATATGAATAAAACCGAAGGGCGTGCATTGCCACAGGGAGCTATTGTTGGAGCCATTCCGCGTTTTGCACTTGATGAACTTTCCAATTTCGCTGGCCTTCTTGTGGGTGGGTGTTCCAAGCTGGGAGTTTCCAATTTGATTTTCGTCGTGTCTCCTTTTTCTCACATAGACGATCTGTGTGCTGCTGATAGACCTGAGAGTCTACAGTGGCGTTCGTGGTGTCTCGCCTCAACACGGGGCTTCGTTCAGGCGGACATCCGAGCGAGTGCAGAAGAGGGTTTACAATCCCACATCTCGTTGCTTTGGGCCAACCAGATGCTTCCAGTTCGTCTCAAAGAAGGAAAGAACAAGCAAGTTTGTATAGAAGACATGTAGTTATGTAGCAACTCTACACGACACTACGGCACAAGAAACAGTTCACAAAATGAACCTTGGACTATAATGATGCAAAAGTACAACTCCTGCCTCCCAAGGCTCGGTCCCTCCGGGTGCTAGCTGAAAACTTTCGATGGATAGTGAAGCATATTCAACCATTCTCGCGTACCAAGCTCCTCCCAGTGTTAAAACAAACAGCACATCGAGTTTACAGTAACTAGATTGGGGTTCACCGCCTACCACGAGGGAGGCCTCTCGCGCAGACCAGATTTGCCCAATGCCATGCAGACTTACTCTTATCATCTTCATCAGATGTTAAAATCCATGCCTCATGATCCGCCTTTCCATACAGACATTGTTATATACCACGGACCTACCGAATAACCCGGATCCACCACCCTGGCCTGGTTTGCCGGAGGCATCTCGCGATAAGCAAGACGCGCTCATACAACATGTGAGATACGTGTTGTTCCGACATAAAGACTTCGATACCATAACACATCCCTGTGCCCCTTGAATTAGATGCTCCAACTGCTCTTCGTGTGCAGTCAATTTGCCGAATTGGTGCCACTGATCGCTTGTTCCGTTGATCGTTAGATCGTTAGCAGTGCCTTTGTGACTCGTAGGATGAACTCCGTTCGGTCCCACTTGTTCAGGTTGTGTACATACTGTAGCCTTCCACTGGACCGTTTTCTTTTAGCTCCTTCTCACACACCATATCCACCAACACCTGTCATACAATATGACAAGGGATTGTGTGGACGCGTGCATCCAACTGGGGGGTTTTATCAATCGACATTCTACATGTGTTTTTTTCTCAGAGTCTCCCACTCGTGCCTGCAGGGGTCTACCCCCCAATCTTCCAGATGCCTGAACCCAGACCCTGTCCGGCTGCTTTTCCGGTGGGATGAGTTATTCCCAAAGACCAGCTCTGGCAATGGGATTGAAAGCACCAAGCAGATCTCTGGACACTAGATTTGGAAAGAAGGATGGATTGAACGCGTCAAGCAGTGCACATCCTCCCAGTGAAATGGATTCTTGGGAATTCATCCCATGTTGCACATGGATGAAATTCAGTGAGTTCCTTGATTGCACTCTGCACTTTTGGAATGTCTGAGCACAATGGATCTGATCTCGTTCGACGCAGAAACTGATTATATAATGCACAGAGTCTGGTGATCAAATGCAACCTCCAAAGAAGGCTCCATTTGTGACCGTCATGGTGGTCAATGATTTCTCCCGAACAGATCCTGATCTGGGCCCATTAGAATAAGCAGCCAAAGCCCAACCACCCAAACCAAGGGAACAAACCGGAATAAACCAATGAATATGCTGAATGCTTCATTCTGCTGCAAAGACCCTTTTCACCCCCCAAAAGATACCTCCTCCCCCACCTCACCTCACCTGCGAACAGAGAAATTACACCAGACTTCTTCGCGAAGCACCCGCAGTCCTTCGCGCGAAGCGTCGGACAACGCTGCGCGATGAGGAGATCATCCCCAAGAGCGAGTCGGACATCCCTGGGTGCTGTGCTCCGCGCACACAGGCGGAGGATGCCAAGTGCAAGGCGCCAAACGGGACGACGCCGTCCGCTGCGAGGTCGATGAGTAAAAAAGGTCCGGTGGAAAGTGGGCAGGGCACCTCTTGCCTCGAGGACTTGTGATTTCATGAGCTGGGGGTTTGGGGGCTTGCTCAAAACCAGCTGGGGCTTCATGGAGAAACCAGGCGATGCCGGTTCAGGCTTTGGGATCAGTTTCGAACAGCTTCTCCCGCACTGCAGGAGCTGGCAAATCAGCGGAAGGCATGGGAGGCGGGTTCTCGATGGGTGCTTTTAAGGGCCATGTGTCCTCCACGGGGACACGACGCTGGTCCTGTAATTCGACATGGACCAAGCTTCAAGACCAAGCTTGCTCTGCAGGGAATGATTGCCATCCATGTTTGTGTTTAAGAATGACCAGTAGCTTGCTGATTGTAACTTATTGTTGAAACAAATTGGATAGCCTGTCAGACGATGGGAGCCTGATCTTCGTCTTCCACAAGTGTTCTCCAGTTTCATTGTTAGTCTTTCGGATGGCAACAAGAACGTGCCTACATTGATTCTTCAATGCAATGCTGTTCTTTTTTTATGCAGAAACTTGGCGTTTTGCTTTGTAAATTCCCTTGACCTCACACCCATCCCGTGCTGGAACCCTGTGCGAAAAGGCACGCATGTTTACACAATGCCTCCAAACGGAAGATAGTTCCAGAATATTCCATGTGAACGTTGGAAGGACATGGCTGGAAGTCCAATCTCTTGAAGAACTTCATGCGGTGGTCCCTTTTGCGCCGGCTCTTGCCCACAACCCCTCTGCACAGACTGCAGTAAACCCTCCGTCCTTGGTTCCCCTGTCTTTCGGGGCCATCGCTGCTTAGCTTCCGCCAGGACTACGACGTGTGCTACGACAGCAAGTTTCCGCAGTGGGAAACCACCAAGGCTGAACAGCTGGCGCAGATGCCATCGTTGCAGGCTCAGTGCCTCGGATGTAGCGGATGAGTGGAGCTGCAGCTGCCACGGCAGCTGCCACAGTGGCTGCCAGCAACAGCCGAGACAGGGTCACGGTTTGTTTGAAGCGTCATCGCTACTCCGGGTGCGACGGACATGCTTCAGCTGAGTTGACCCCAGAGGTGTTCCAGGAGTGAGTTGGTCCTTCCACTGGAACTTGGCCCATCAGCAGACATTCCATAAATCAGACATCGTCGAAGCGTTCACTCCCTCCAAACGTTTTTCGTTGCCTGCCCGTTGGTTCTTTGGGAGTTGGTAGGAAGAATCCAAAGGCCAAGGCCGTCAAGGTCCTTGTCGTGTTGACCCTGAAGCAATGGCCTCCAACCTACAAACAATGGCCTCCAACCCAATAGCAATGGCCTCCAACCTACTGGCGATGGCCTCCAACCGATGCAAATTCTGAGACCCTGAGGCAAGGTCCTTGTCATGTTGAGTCTACATTCCTCGTTGCCACTGGACCCCCAACTTGAGAAGAGTCACTGTCGTCAACTTCGTCGGCGGATGGAACCCCGACGGAACGGTCGGTTGCACGCGCTCGGCACTTGAGGATGCGCTCCATCTTGCGGATGATTTGCTACATCGAAGCCTGGCTTTTATTGACCGATGAGAGGGACAGTGACGCACTTACAGTGCGCGTGTACATGTACAGTGCACCTCTGTCGTGCCTGCCCCTTTTTCCGAACGCCACAGAACGATGGACTGCACGGCCCATGTCACGCCGTGCCACGAACGAACGAAACGAGTGCCCTCCTAGGAGTCCTTTGGGGAGAATCAGGCCGCCAAGTTGAATCAATGCCGCTTGGTGCAGAAGCCTTGGAACGGCAAAATGATGTCCTGGAGAAAGCAAGGGTGCAGAAACGGCGCGAAACTCCAACCAAGTGCTTCCTTGGGTGCAGAAACCTTGGAGGCTGGAAACGGTTGTTGGAGGCTGGAAGGAAGCGCTTCCGAGGTATGGAGAAGGACTACACCAAGCACCCTGAGGTCGTGGCGCTCACCCTGGAGCCTGGCCTCCCCGATGCCCGGAGAGAAGGGCCAGTTAGCAGGGATGAGGCGTTGGCAGGGCGATGAGGGATGAAGGTGGAGGGTGATGTGGCATTGGGGGGATGGCTTAGGTGTGACGTGGCTGGTGGAAGAATGAAGAAGGATAAAAATATAAGATCGAGATAGATCGAGGCTGGTTGGTTGGGAGATGTCCGAAAGAACAGGAAGGATATATATATATATATTATATATTCATTTGCCAGTGATTCACACTGCAGTAGGTCATAGACAAGGTTTGTGTTTGTTAGTGCTGAACAATATGTAATCCCGGTCCGACCATATTGCAAGTTTAATCCCGCTCAGACAGCCCAAAGTCGAAGAAACAAACTAAAACGACTTTCAGCTCGTTCTCACCCTTTGCTCTCATCGTTGAACCACGTCCTCTCACTGCCAAGGAAGAGAAGGTTGATGCCTTCTCGTGCAATGCCAGCGAGACCCCCGGCACCGAAGCATTTGATGAGTTGCACTATCACGATCTGCCTGTGGGTCGCTGGGAAGGACACCATTGTGAATTGGGCGGGACTTGGAAGTGGCAACACATGTTGTTGTTAGAGCAGTATAGAGGTATGTACAGACAGAGCAATGTCATGGGCATTTCTCCAGAGCCTCTTTCGTAGTAGGAAAATACATTAGGACAAGAAGTTCATGTCCCAAGGCGAGGAGTGGCATGTGGTTTGTTTGGCTTTCACTGTAAGGGTTGACCAATGGGTGTCCTGGCTGGAGATCCCTAAGCAGTGTAGAGAAGTCTGTTGGACGCCCAGACAGTTTTATCGAGCACTTGTAGTAAAACGTCGCCAAGTGAAGAACGCCGAAAACCTCGTGTGACGTCATTGGATGGGCGGGACACGGCTGAATTGTCATGGCTTTGCGAAGGAACGAGCATGAAAGAGTAGTAGGACCGAGCCTGGCGTTACTGCCTGGAACTAACATGGAAGTGGAAAACCCTTTGTTTGTAGTTGAAAAGGGTCTTCCAAGGGACTTCCACTTTACTTCCAGGCCAAATGGGTGGAGCCGAGCCTGAGATCCAGCGAAGTCAGAAGGGGTGAGATGGGTCGGGTTGCCTCATGTCGCGCTGTGAGGTTTGGCGAAATGCCCACAACTGCAGTGCCAGGATGTGTGTAGCTTGGATGGCGAGACGTGCAATGGCTCGTTGGGGTTTGGCCCCGCAGTCACCCACACTTCAAGCGCACCGGGGAACCCCTAAGGTCGTAGGTTCAAATCCACAGAAATCCAACAATTCCTGAACCCTCCGTCGTAGCAGAAAAAAGTGACAGAAAAAAAACTGCACATCATCAAAAAAAGCATTCATGCCTTGAAAAAGCGTACCACTGGAAAGTCAGATGTAGCTTCATTCCACCTTATGTGGTCTTCAAGTCCATTCCCCTGCCACATGCTGGCACCCATCCCATGCACACACACAATACACGCTCACACACTACGAAGCGGCAGCCAGCAACCCCTTTCTTTGATCGTCAGTATCAATATAAAATATTTAAGTATATTTAAGTTGAAAAAAAAAAAACATCCGCCACCTTTTAAAATTGCGCCCGGGTTGCGGGAATTTGCGCCCGGGTTGCGGGAATTTGCGCCCAAGTTGCGGGCACCCTTTTTGGATAAATTGTTGTAAAGCACGCCCAGAAGGTTAGAACCAAACCTTTGTGATTTCATTTGCACATACTAGGAGAGGTCATATAGGATTTCCACCCTGTCCATAGGGCCCTAAAGGCCCACAAGGGTTGATAAGGACACTGGTCAGGAACCAGTAGGCTTTAGAATTTACATCACCAAAAAGCGCTCATATGTCCTGAAAAGTGTACATACCCTCGCTCAAACTTCCAATAAGTGCTCCAAACCATGCTTCGCCAGAAATAGGTGTCACAAAGGATGCTTGAGGTTCCTTTGATTCTTCGTGCAACGCGTGCAATTGTTTCAGGGTTTGATCTGCTGGTGCCAGGGCCAACGGGAGGGTTACGGAAGGAGTCATTTGGAACTGCCCTCAGAAGAACCGCTGTTGACGTTGCCAATGAGTGGGGTTCCAAACAATAGACCCATGACTCATGACCAGCTTCTGTTTATGCACTCACAACCTTCCCACCGTTCGGTTGGCAGAGGCTTGTTCTGATTTTTTTGTCCTCCCTCACTGGTTGCTTTGACCAACTCACAAAGATAAATTCCGTCCTGCTTCAAACAACATGAACCAAGTTGGAGCCTTTGGGATCCTTGGTGCCACTGACTTGGCCGCGAACATGACTGTGAAATACCGTGAATCGTCTATAGCTCGCTGTGGATCGGGTTTCGACCTGCCAACACGTCAGGTGGCTCGCCTGCCTCTCACGCTCGCTGCCCTCTGCGTTCAGGTGGCTTCGTGAACGTGAAGGCCATGAATGTCAGCACCACCTCCCTGGCGCCCTTGGTGCCTCGGAACCGGACGGCGCGGAGCGGAAGGGGCGGAGAGTACGGGGGCGGGCGAGGGGCGGAGGACGATCAAAACGCCGGGAACGGTGTTCCTATGAAGGGTCCTCGCTTTCGTGCCACGAGCCAAGGTGGAGAAGACGACGGTGAAGAGCCACTGCTTTAAGAAGGGTGAGAGCCACTTGGAAGGGAAAAGAACCTTTCACCACGGTACCGTCGGTGGTAATTGTTCACCTGCGGCACATCGCTGGAAGACCAGCGGTTTGCCATTGGTGAGGGGGGAACTGCTGGGAGCGGCCCATGCTTTGGTCGTGATGGAAGCACCAGGGTGTTTTGGGGGGGTCTAGAGGAAAGTCGTCTCGCATGAGTCATGAGGATGTTTGAGGGCAAGATTCCCACAAGTGCCACTTTTGACTCGGAGATACTAAATGATACTTCGAGTATCTACTAGTAGCGTTTTCTCAGAGTCAGAGTCAATTTGGAAGATTTCAAGAAACCATTTTTGCAACATGTTCGCATATGTTGGAATCGATCTTTCTTTGAGAGACCATCTGGCAAACACTCCAAGATTCAGATGCGCAGTAGAATAAAGAACCATAGCAGAACAGCCCACTGCGGCTTTCGCCAAAGCAACTTCAGACTTCATGATGGACCCATCCCCTCGACGCATCCCGAGGCCAAACCGCCGTCTTCTGGGACTTGGGCTCTGCTCAGGACGCTCCGCTCCGGTCCCACGTGAGTCGCGGGTCCCGCGGGTTCCTGGGGTGCTTTCGTCGCGTGGTGTGGGATATCCACAACGCAAAGAAGAAACAGCACCGTTTTGGATGAGGCCATCGTAGGTCTTGGATAAGACCCTGAGAGCGCCCGATGCCGCTACGCGGCCTTTGAGAGCTCGTTCCGGGCTGATGCCGGCCCGCCTTTCAGGACGTGGGCACCGTCTCGGCGATCCCCTCCGCCGGCGTCGCACGCATCAAGGCCGTTGCCTTTTTTCCTTTTGGGCCACCGTTTTGGGAGGTGCGGGGGGGTGCAACGAGTTCCCCAAAGTTGCAGCTGTCTTGTTCACTCCGAAGGGAGAGCATGTAGTTGATGGGGCCTGCATGAAGGTAGCAGGTATTGTATGTCGTTTGGAAACTCCTCATTCAATCTGCATGATGTGGCTTGTTGGCGGGCCCCAGCTCCCCAAAGTTGACAAACACTGCTATTTGATGTTCCCTCGATCATTTTAAATACTGACTCACCTTCATTGCTTTGTGCAGTTTTCTTTGAAGCCTGCTTACATGAACGCTTTCCTCTCTAACTCAACTTGGCATGATTCTCGAAGGATTTTTGTGCGAGTGTTTGGTGATTTGGGTTTGTCATTTAGGCTTTTCAGGTTGGGCTGGTGGCTTGCGTTGTGTTGGACGTGGAGCAGGGAGCGGCCACAGTTCACAATTAACATTTTTGTAATTGCCCTTTTGGCCGGAGTGTGCATAATCATTTTGTTGTGGACTCTTCACGATCCCAACACCACAAACTCCCAGGACGAAACATACTGCATACGTTTTACAATGATACTTCACACCTGGTTCAGCAACCATTCACCACATTTCACCACCACCCAGCCCGCCAACTCCAGAACCCTTTTCTACCTCCCACCAGGCGCCCAGCGGGCGCCGACCATGCGATGCGCACACGAACTTGGCGATGTCAGGTCTACCTGACGAACACTGGCCCGGAGGACCCTTTGGCCTCCACGGCGCAGTGTGGCACCATCACCATCGGCTCCAAGACGGTGTCCTGGAACCCAAAAAACCAATAAACATGGCCGGCCTGTTCTTTTTCCGCCCAGACCGGTCAGTTTCTCCTTGGATCCGGTGACGAGGTCTCCTGCAGCTCACGTGGCGCGGCGCGGTACTTGGTGCTGGAGCCCTTCGCCTGAGCCACCCGCGTCTTTGGCGGTTGCCACTGGGTCGAGAAGATCAGGAAGATGACAGGAGATAGACAGGGGCAATGGAAGGAGATCAGGGTACTTGGTTGGCGAAAAAGGGGAGTATATATTACATATATATATATATATATGTATAGACCCTGGGAGTCAAAGGCTAAGAGAACATAAGAGAACGGTCTTTAGGTGACCCGAAAAGGAATTTCCTTTACTTCAGTCAACATATTTTCTTTGGACTTCTAGGGTAGAGTTATATAAAGAGATATATAGATCAATTGACAATGTCCCTCAAGAAAATATACAACAAGTGACCCTCCTAAACAATACGTTGGACATTGTCAATTGAGGACAAACTGTTGACATTGTCGCATGTCACCAGTTTAATATTCCCCTTGGTTGGAAGTTGTGGTAACATGTACTTATATCAAGCCAAGGTTCAACTGCTTCGAGCGAATCATGGTCCATCTCCACACTGACCGGGTCAGCATTCAGGGAGCACAGTTGCAAAGCTTGTCACGGCAACTGACAAAGAATTCGAGGAATGTGGTCTCCAAGAAATCCGCAGCGGAATTCAACCTTTAAGGAGATCCATTCATGTAGGTAGTCCGTTGGTGACCCTTCAGACGATCCAGATATATAACCGCAATTGGATGAACGTATGTCGTTTGATCCCTGAACTTTACGTTCATCCAATTGGCCTGTTGAGCCACCGTCTATTGGATATACAACCACAACTGGCCTGTTCTGGGACAAAGTCATCCAACCACAGGAATGACGGCTATCCCTAAACATGTTCTGCGGCTTTCGTACATGGACCATTGCAGCCGGGGGGTTTGACCCATCTGAGGTCCTAGAGCTACACCCGGGAGAATTAACATGGAACCTGAAAATTGACCTTTGGAAGACTATTTTCCTCTACAAACCAGTGGTTTTCAGGTTCCATGTAAATCTTCCAGAGTGTAATCAAGAACTATTATTTGTTGTAGTTTGTCGTCTATCAGTGGATGTTCACAAATCTGAATTGGACTGCTGTAATTAATTGCGTGGTTTTGTACCGGGCTGCATCGGGTGAATCACGACCGGGCCGAGGCACGCAATCATGGTGTTTGATGGAGTGGATGGCAGCCCCATGACACAGGACCCGGACGGACACAGGAAAACACGGTCCGTGTTGCATGCAGAGACTGTGGTGGAGTGTGAAAGTTCAGTTCTGGGGTTTGGGTCTCAATAAAGATGAGTGGTAGAGGGATTCGACCCTCAGCCCGATGATGCACAATGAAGAGCTGGTTACTGGTTGCACTCCTTCAACATGAAGGCATTTGCAGCATTCACATACATTGCGAATGTATGCGAGGAACATCATTTCTCCGGAGTTTTCCACTCGGCTTTTCCTTTCATTATGGTTTGGTTGAACCTATTTGTAAGGGGAACGTGTGTTTGGGAGAGGGCACCCACAGGATCTACCAGACATTGCAACAAGCTCGGCATTCACTACCTACCTCACCTTTTTCTTTTTCGATATATATATATATATACACAGTATATATATGATATGATATGATATGATATGATATTTGATATGATATATATATATATGATATGATACACAGACACACTTGGTGGGATGCACCAGGCCTTGTATTTTGGAGCCCATGACCACGTCTTACACAGGAGCCCATGACCTCCACGGGCATCTCCTTCATGGGAGACTCGGGCCGAACCAAACACGGACCCCTCGGGACGGACACCGATCGACTCGACAGGTCGACGGGTCGGGGGGGGAAAGCAGCTTGAAGCGAAGCTGCCTTCAGAAAGCTGGACCACCAGGGCCCTCTAAGGGGTGGTTTTTCTGGACACCCCGAATCACCTCCAAGGAGCTATAATTAGACACCCCGAATAGGGGGCCCTGGTACAGGATGTCTCTGGTCCTTGACCTATATGGGTTTTTCCCTTTCGACACGACCACCTTACCGCACGAGCGCGATCCGGGTGCAGTGCGTGCAGTCCGTGCAGTCCGTGGGTCCACCCAGTCCCGTCAGTGGCAGTCCGATCAGCTGTGCCCTCCATGTGATTTCCAATTGATTGAGTTCTGTCATGATGGAGAGACCAGGAACAAAGTAAAGTTCAGGAACTGTCCCGGAGAAAGAAACTAGGGTTCAGAAAGGGGGTTGCTGGGTTCAGACATATTATAACTCTCGCATATTTTTGCTGAATTGAAAAACGTTTCTTTTGAGAGGTGTGGTGGGGTATCGACGTGACATTCATGTGAGCAACTGTTTAAACACGGTATGAAGGGCACGTTGCCAGTTTCCGAATCCAAAGTTGAGTTTTTGAAACCCACATTGCCGGTTTCCGAATCCTACGTACACGTTTCCAGTTTCTGAACCCAACGTGTTGGTTTCCGAACTTAACGCTGACCAGCAATCTGGCATTCAACCCCCAGGTGAAATTAGGGGGTTTAGTCAGGTGTTTTGTGAGGCATGGGAGTTGGACAATGCACGGTGTTAAATCGGGGAATCCTTGCCAGGATCGAAAGAGTAAGTCACATCTCCAGGAGAACCTCCTGCAAGATGTTTGAAGCTGACTGTATCCCCGAGGGTTTGAGGGGTTCTAGGTTGTTGGCGAGGTCAGGTCTACCCCTTCATAGGCAAGGTCAGCGACCGTGTGATGAACGGAACGCCGAAACCTGCAACATGGTCGGAGTGTGAAGGAACATTTTTTTTGGCGGGGGTGCAGGGGTGCAGCCCAGTCTGTACCATGTGTTTCTGTCTCCCAGGTGCCCCCATGTATGCCATCGCCACTGCACAAAGCCCGTAGCGACTGCTCGATTGTGGCCCTGTAAACCAAGTCTGGCTCGAGAATAGACCTTCCAAACTAGTAAAAGACAACTCGTGCACCGACAAGCCGATCCGAGATGGTTGTGATTTGTGAATTTGAACAAGCCCGAAGCACTGAGCATCAACCGGTTGGGCCCCGTCAATTGGGTACCTCGACCTTCTCATGCAACTCCCTTGTGCATCCGCATCCGCCGGTCTCAACGGTGTGGCTCGGTCGGTCAAGACCTGGATCTCCAAAACCATGGCTCACCGTCGCCCCGTTGACCCTCTGAGTGGGTTCTAAAACCTGGTTCACCCTGGTTCGCGCTCCCTTCGGATCCGTGGGTGAAGGTTCTTCCCGGGGGCCCTCCGTGGTTCACTGAGTCTGCTGCGCCGTCACTTGGTGCTGCGTCTCAGGTGAGGTCGTGGTGGATGCGAACACCACTGCCATCCAGTGAGCGAAACCGGTGGCACGACGGTGCCCGGTGACGGTCTGCGTGCGTGTTCGGTGAAGAAAAACGCCTGCGCAGATTGGCGCGCCGTGGAGGTTGGGGACCTGCTATTCTATCGGTTCGGACCGGTTTTGTGCAGAGTAGGATGTTCGTCTCTTTTCACTCATTGGCTGGAAGATTCTCGAACAGGTATTCGACAGGGCGTAAGTAATGAACTGAATCAACGAGAGTCACTGGCTTCCTGGAATGCACTGTATTAATACACGACACCTTGAATTCAACATTTGGAAGGTCAAAGACATGGCCCATGGGTCTTTCTTGTCAGAATTCCACGAGAGCTGAGCAGTTGGCCAGGATATGGCGTCGATAGAGAAGGTTGACAGCAAATTGAGCCGCCAGCGCTTGTCTGACACTCAAGCACTGGTTCGGGTGGACGGTCCAGACCGAGGGAGTGACCGAGGGGCCATAATTCTGGTGGTTCAAAAATCGTTAAGATTCTCTAAAAATCTGATTCGTGCGAGCTTCCTTGAAGCGAGTTTCGCTCTCCTGCGTCCTAAGAAGCGGAGCGAACAGTTCCTTACATGATTAGGGAAGGCCGGGGAGTGGGCTTTGCCGTGCTTCTTGTTACTACTAGTAAGGCACTTGTTACTAGTAGCGATGCACTTGTTCCTATTAGCGTTTGCCGTGGGTATTAGTTGCGCCCCCCTCGTCACGTTTCCAAAGATGTGCTGCGCGCCAGCGGCCGCCATGGCCGCTGGATGGCCCCCGTGAACAAGGGCTCTGAGCAGGTCAGACCTGCGTTCCGGAAAAAGACCGTGTGTCAAGAGGAAGCGTTTTGCGCCAGAGAGAGAGAGAGAGACAGAGAGAGAGAGAGAGAGATATCAGAAATCA